ATAGTTGCATTCGTCACAAGTGGGAAAAATTTAAATCTGCATGGCACTTTACTCCAATTGGCTCATTCACTTGCTTAAACTCAACGTTGAATCTGATTCCGCCGAACTGGGTTGGGTGTGAAAAAGTATTTGTTGTTAACATTCTTTTTTCATTCGGTTTTTCCAGTTACGAATACTTTTTTTTAAAGCTGATCGTTTTGTGTTCATTTTGTTTAGTTCTTTTTTCGCAACAGATTTAATGTTTAGTATAGAGCTTAGAAAAAATTCGCAGTGTGAGATAGGTAAGAAGTAAGGCATGTAGCAACATTGGCACGGCAAAGGGCACTCCTTTAAAGGCAAGGAAGGGCAAAAGTATTTTAAGTCAAGTGATAGCGATGAGTTGTACGATTTTTGAATCAAGCACGGGCCACGCCGGGTCATACTGCTAGTTATTTCAATTGCTATAGTGATTTTCTAAGCGTAGCTTAGATGTGGTACAAGGCCGAATGTTTGGGGCACGCAGTGAGGATCGAACTCACGACTCAGTCATAATTGTTCTAGTGAGACAAGCTTGCTAAACATTACACCGCCTCGAGGTGTCCAACTGGCAATTGCTATAACAGATCTTTTCTGCTCCTGGTCGGAATTAGAGGAGGAATTATTGACAGACTCACTTTTTATTCAGTCATCTTAGGAATTAAACGGAGAAACCTTTTTATTTTATATCATACATGCTAAGTCATTTAGGGAGGAATGGGTTCATGTTTTCCACTAGAGCAATAAATCCCAAACTTTTTCCTCTGGGCCTCATCAAATTTCATCTGACGAAAAGTATACTTAAAAATAAAATAAAATATAATAACAGAGATGGTTAAAGGGAGATAACCGTTGATTCGAAGTCAACTCATTATTATTAATAACTCTCTTCTCCAATTTGCAGAACCTAGATACTATATTCTTAATACTTGATATAATGCAAAAATATCACAATGATAAAATCGGTCAATAATTACTTATAACTATTTATACTGGGACTCAGGCATGCAGTTACAAGTAATCCATAATAATATTTTTATATTTTGAAAATATAATTATTTTTGGCATATGAATTTTTAAAAAACCGTTTCTAAATCTCTGATTGTCTTTCAATCCTTCCGCCTCACCTGCTATTCTCTTCCGCCTCGCCTGCTATCCTCTTCCGCCTCATCTGCTATCTTCTTCCGCCTCACCTGCTATCCTCTTCTGCCGCACCTATGAGGCGCGCCGCACCGTCTGTGAACCACTAGAGCATACATACAATACAGGCAAAACGCAATAGTAACCATTCAATATAAACGTATTATTACGATCTATCAGCGTCTATAAATAAACATATTGAAAATGAATATATATATATATATATATATATATATATATATATATATATATATATATATATATAACAGTGAGAAAGGCCGCATTTTTTATCATAATGTGTATTTTTTATATACGTCATTCTATATATTTTGCTGCACGGGTTTCGGGTTTTGTGACCTTCATAAGGCGAAGAATGGTTATTTCCACGTATTATTTAAAGGAATGAATTTTTCCCTACTATGTTAAATCTTTTAACCACTGTCTTTTGTCTGTAGTAGTAGTCATCTGAATCCATCTTGGACTGACCGAAAAATGTTCTTTTGCTTGACAGGCAATAAAACAATTAAATTTGATCACAGAAAAGGAAAGAAACAAGGTTGTATTTGTTTTTATCTTTATATGTCCCCCGTGTATCTTTACATTCATTCCTATATTCTTGTGTACTCTGCTTTTATCAGTATGTGTATATATATCCACACATATATTGTACTATTAGAAGTACCCCCCTCTCTCTCTCTCTCTCCATATATATATATATATATATACATTTTGTATGCTATATAGCGTTCGTGTGTGTGTGGTCCATCTAGTGTGTTTGATTTTGCCAGTATGTGTGTATATATTCGTTCTCCATACATATATATTATGTTATTATAAGAAAACCTATATAGTAAATACATGCATTTTGTATGGTGTGTGTGTGTGTATGTGGTCCGACTAGTCTGTTTTTCCATTATGTCTATACGGTGTGTGTTTATGTGTGTCGGTTTATGTTTTGTTTAGTGATGATTTAAACTTGTCTATGAAGTTGTTCTTGTATTTTGAGGTAAGAATAATCATGTTTGATATATTGGCATAATTTTAAAGTTACCTTTGTTGCATTTGTGGATGTGTTTTTTGAGAGTTTTATGTAATTCTTCTAGGCGGGTTTTTCGGAGGTGTTTGTCGGACACTATAGCGCAAATACAGAAGAAGCGTCTGGTTGTTGTTTAAAAACAGTAATTTGACTTCGTCAACGTGACGCTTCCTTTATAGCTAAACTGGTATAGCACGTCAGGCTAAATGACCGTTCCGTGTAGGATACAGGTTCGGTTCCTGTCGGAGGACACATATTTTCTATGAAAATTTCTCGGACATTCAGGCCAGTAAATGTAGTTAATACTGTTTATTACAATTAGAGCATTTACTTAAATATTTGTATCTATAAAAATAACGTTTCATTGAATAATATAGGCATATTATGTTTACTTATTTTTATACTGATCCTTTCCAGTTTTCTAATCAGTTTTTTGATGTTATGATGAAATGTATAAAGTAAGGCACCGTAGTTTTTTCTAACCCTAGTACTTTCGATTTTTTCCAAGATCATGTTCACGGGTAAATTACAAAGATAAACTTATTGTAACTGCGATTCCGCTGTCAAGGTGATTTAAAAACACACTCACGCATAACCGCGCTGTTATAGTTTTTTTTAATTTTAATTTATCCGTTTTAGTGTTATGGCATGCGCGTACACGCACAAACACACACACACACACACACACACACGCACACACACACATATATATATATATAGATATAGATATATATATAAAATAGCTGGCCACTCGTGTTCGAGGATACCCGTCTACTAGGTCTACTTGGGTGGCTAGCCAATCCCTGTTGCGGACTCTCGCTCAGGCACATTTGTGTTTGTTGAACACCCACAGAGCCAGCCTGTGGTTTATAATGCAACTATGCTGAGCATACCTTAGTTACAGTTTCTGGGAGAGATCGTGTTGTCCAGAATGATCAACAATCTGAACAGCACCAGCACACTCAATCCCTCGGTCACGATGACTTGTGACTTCGTGCTAGCACTGCTATCTACGGCCCCAAGTGTCTCATCTACCCAGTTTCACTCACAATGCTTGGTTCAACCAGTGGTATAGTTTTCAGGCACTTTCCAAAGGTGTCGCACGCTGGGATATCCCCCTCTCGACCGATAACATCAGGTAGTCTCCTTCCTGACAAATCGGCCATATATATATATATATATATATATATATATAACTATTACACCAGGCCAAGATTAATGAAGCAAAAACGAGTAAAATATGACTTAACCACACTGAGATTTCAACAAAAGAGCGTTGAACCATATAAGTAATAACCTTAGATGCAATAATCGTTTCCCGGCCCTATTGGACGTTTATAAAAACACAGTAGCGAGCTGTTAAACGAACGTCTTTAACAACAGGCGTGATTAAATATCCCGCCGTGTATACGCATAGGCATTCACTTAGTTCGTCACAAATCCAACAAGCTCACAATCCCAAGCTCTACAACTGTGATAGACATTAAGATTTACACCTTTATGGGACATCCTCAAATTAAAATTACAATGTCCCCGTCTCTAATAGAACAAAGATGGCGTCGATACTCGTTTTCGTTGAAGGAGAGATCCGGAACTTTCCGACTGGTTTCTTGTGAATAGGAGATACATTTGTCTAGCAAGACATTTTCAACTATGTTTTCCGCCAAATTGATTTTGTACATTCAGCAGATATGAAACGTTACTCTGTTGTACCTTATGCATCGCTGCAGACGACGCTGAACAAATGACCCCTTTTCGATTTGAATGACTTAAAATGAAAATATTCTGAAATAAAGTGATTGAAAAGGAACAGATTTGATCTTGGTACATATCTTTTTCGGATTGTCGTCTTCTATGTGCCGTGTCCCTTCAGAACATGGACCTCCACAACTTCCTATCCTTTGTGACTCGTAATGGCATCCCAAATTTCCAGGAACCGGTTCTATAAAGGCAGGTAATATTTAGGAACCTATTCTGCTTATTTACTTTTCACTCTGAGAATGGAAACAAATCACTTTATAGTATCAAAAAGAATTTGATAATTTAATTGAAAGCATTTATTAAGCTATTTACAGACTGAAATATGTTTTTTTACTCTAGTGTTATCAGCTGTATAATGGTTTCTTTGCCGCATTTAAACTAAATCACTGCAGTCCCAAAGATCCAATGGAAGACATATTGAATTTATGACCAGAAGATTGTCCACATTTTTTTAACTACAAAACGGTTTCTTTTGTTAGAATAAATTATGTTAATCACAGAAGACCCTTTTTCAGCCTAAGCAGAACTTACAGCAATGGTATTAATTATATTTTTAGTTCTAGGATAATTTTGGGTACATGTCTATGGTAATCTCACGTTACGTTTTCAATATAATTAACAGAGATCGTATGTCTTTCGAGTGTTGAGTGCGGAGTGTGTCTATCAGAGTTTAACTGGGTGCGCGTGAGTGTAGCGTAACTAACATTTTACCTAGGCCATTAGCTATTAATATATACGATTATTTTCAGATAATCCAACAACCGGTTCGTTAAATTTTTATAATTTTAAGAGTCTGTTTGCGCAAACCAGTAAGATGACACTATTGCCTGTGCCCCTGAGGAGCGTTTCTCCCTTTGTCAAGCCTCCTGACTTAACCTTTCGCCATCGATTCCCAGTCGTCAGGTAGGTGGTCCACGGCTTCCCATATTTCTTTTGCCCTCGATATGCCCTGAGAGGGTCAAGTTCTTCAAGCACTTTTTCAGATATAAACGTTTCTCTGTACCACTTCAGCAAATACTTGACTCCTCCTGGTATGCTCGGACGGTTCACGGCCATATCATGTTGAAACATCGGTTCACGTACGATCACCGAAGTTAAACAATATCGTGTCTGGTAAGCACCTAGAAGGGTGACCGCTTGGGAATACCAGGTGTTGTAAGCTTGGATGTGTGGGTGGTGTAATGGATAATGGCTCAGAATTGGATTTCGGGGAGGCCGAGTTCCAATTCCAGTTGGGTTCGTTATATTCACTTGCGCGCAAATGCCTTTGGAAAGTTATGAATCAAAGTCTATGGGTTAATTAGTAAGACTTGTATCAGTAAATCATTATTATCCCACAAAAGCTTTTTTAGTTATAATATTTTCCCGTTTTAAATGATCTGCAAATGGTTGATAAGCCGTAAAAAACAAATCAATCAATCAAACCGGCAATACTCTACCTTTCCGATTGCCAAATATAAGCTGATATTGCCCAGTCTTCACTTTTCAGTCTTGACAGAGTCCAAAGGTTCTATGCAGGGTAATGAACTGTTTTCCACCTGACGTCCCTTTCCCACAGACGAAACTTTGCAAGCAACTTTACCGCTATTTCCATGGAAAATGTTCAAACGATTTTAATTCCTTAGATACTCCAATACTTCTAAGCTAAGGCCTATAACGCCACGTACATTGAGGTGTGCCAGCTTCATTCCCTTCGTATTCCTTTGGTAAGGAATGTGTTACATTCGGATAGCTTCTTCCCCAAAACTGTTGCTTTGTGGAACAGAATCCAAGGAGGATGCTTTCTCGACTATTACAAGCTTAACCCTTTCAAGTCTAGGGTTAAATCTTATCTTTATCCACATAAACGACACTTCTTAACCTTACCCCTCACACAAAAAACTGCCTTCAGTAACCTTCTAACTTTTGTGCCCATTGGACGTTGTATCGAGTGAATATCATTTTAGAAAGGGTTAAGCCAGCATGGGCGATTGGCTCACCGGTAGGTGATTTCAAGTGTTGAGTAGGTGATGAGCAACTGAACAGAAAATAGTGGGCTATTGAGGATTTTGAAAAAGGTATTTTCAGCATTTGCCACCTGAAAAAAATATTCAAAGGAGATATACAAAGAATTTGTATAAAAAGAACAAAAAAGAAAAAAAGGAAACTAAAGGGGAATAACTCGGATACTTTCCTAGATAATATATAAATATCTCTGCAAACGATGAATATTTTGGTATTTTCTATACAGTTTTCAATGGTGAAATTTACTGCTGTTTATTTTTTTTAGAGTAGTAGCAACAACAGCCGCAGAAGTCAGCCTTATCTGTTACCTGCCTTGGTATTTTTACTACATCATAAAGTCAGTTTATGAACCAGTAACAAACTTTTGCCAAAATATTTCAGTATGATTTTCAATATTTACTATGCAGGTTAGCGGTGGAAATTTTTTCTGTAAAATTGGGCGATGACGCAAAAACGGTTAGGAATCCCTGGTTTAAGAAAAGCATCCAGCTATACTTACTGGAAAGAACAACAACAGTGAGTGGACCTGAGAAATCTATTTTGATCAAAAATGTTTTGTAAAAGAAATATTTTATAAATTTCAACTGAAAGTAGTAGTGGCTGTTCGGTTAATCAATACTGAATGTGTACTTATAAAGGAGCGACAAATATTATAGATTAAGATACTACAATTTGATCCCTGCCCGATGGTCAGTGAATGAAGATAGGCTTAACTCGAGTATCACTGACTGCTTTGTCAATGAATGTAGAATGTCTTCTTATAAGGAAACGGCTTATATTGCTATTATAATTACCATTATTGTTATTCTGTTCACAAGTTTATATTTTTTAAGAAAAATAATTCACGAATTTTGATTGGTAGCCGTAATTGTCAGGCGTTCACTAAAAAAAGGGTGTCCATCGATCAAATAACAAATATAAAAAGTATTTTGCCTCGTCAACGTCTGAGTGAATTCAGGGAATACCATCACTCATATTTTCAGACCTCAATCAAGAGCAGTGGGCAGTAAATATGGACAGTCCATCTTTGTTTGGCTTGGCCGGATATCAAGTGAATTAGATTCTTGCAGCTGCTTGTTGACTGGACAGGAAACAGGAAATGACCGCTTCACTTTGTTACACGAACGTCATTAACGATTTTATTTATTTATTTGATGTTATTTTTACTCGATGGTCATTTCTTTCTTCCTTTTCTTTTTTTTTCTTCCTTTTTTCTTTCTTTCTTCTTTTCTCTTTCTTCCTTTTTCTTTCTTTCTTTTTTCTTTCTTTCTTCTTTTCTCTTTCTTCCTTTTTAGTTCTTTCGTCCTTTTTCTTTTTTTTCTTTTCTTAGTTTTTCTTTTTCTTTCTTCTTTTTTCTTTCTTTCTTTCTTTTCTTTTTTCTTTCTTTCTTCATGTTTTCTTTCTTCACTTTTCCTTCTTCCTTTTCCTTTCTTCCTTTTTCTTTCTTTCTTCCTTTTTCTTTCTATTTCCTTTTACTTATTCATATTTATTCATATTTTTTCCTTTTTTCTTTCTTCCGTTTTTTTCTTGTATTTTTTTTCTTTTGTCGTTTGTCTTTTTTATACATGATTTTTATTCTTTGTAACTCTTGTGTGGTATATTTCATCATTTTTTAAATATTGTTGCTCATCCAATTTCTTCTTTCTTTCCTCGTTTTATTCTTTTTATTCTTCTTCTTTGCATATTTTTCCATTTTTTGTGATGCCAACGAATACTGGTTGTCACTTTCCTAATTCTCGTTGTAGTAGAGACTTTGTAATCGCAGATACAACTATAGTAACGCCGTTGAACAATACTGGCGTCAGACGCCTTCGACTACCACTATCTCGATAATCCTCTCTCGAATAGTAATCCTTATAGTGATCCGAATAGAAAATAGTATAGTGAACAGAGTACAGAATAGCGGTTCGTATAGCAATAGAGGATAGGAGAGAAATAACAATCAATTAGAGACACGTTACCTCCCATATATGTGTTTCCTCTATGGTCACGTGGTATACTTAATTCAATAATAAGGTCGCCCTGTTTGCTCACTGGCGATCTGTGTTCAAACTCAAGTGTCGGCAGCGACACTTTATTCCTATATTATACACTAGCAGTAGAGCCCGGCGTTGCCCGGGGATGTAACAGTAAGAGATAGATAAAGTATCGACCATCATAAAGGCTGAAAAATAAAATTGACAAAGATTATTGTTTATGGTTGACGGACACGCATGTCTTAATTAGTTTTTTTTTTGTTTTGTTTTTTACGAATTGGTCAAACCCAAACTCAAACAAAAACGTTGTTTTCAATCGTTATGAGTCTACCGATTGAATAGAATTTTATTATAAACAATTGTCTTGTAAATGGAATTTTTAAAGCATTGTGAGTGTAAAAATAAAGAAAAAGTGTGCAAGACAATAAGAAACACTACCTGCCAAAAAAAAAGTGAAGTTTTGTTGAAATCGGTTGAAAAATATAGGAAATCCCATCCCATATATAAACGAACACACACACACACACACACACACACACACACACACACACACACACAACAACCTGGGTTTTATAATAAGTATAATTCGATATGAGTTGTCCCCCTTTCATTCTCGCGATGCCTTTTAATCTTGTTTTCAAAATGATTTCGTGCAAAAACAATTGTGTTTTTCCAATTTTTGGCACTGTCGGAACCACCGCAAGGTAATTTTACGCTGTCCTGTGAAGTTTTGTTGAAATCAGTTGAAAAATGTAGGAAATCCGATCCAATATATGAACGTACAGACACACACACACAATCTGCGTTTTTATAATAAGCGTTACATTCTGCCTGGCTGCTATCTATCTATCTAGCTAGCTAGCTAGCTATATCTGTTAATATCTATCTATCTCTATTAATATCTATCTCTATTAATATCTATCTATCTTTATGTATATGTATATATATAAATATCTATCTATCTATCTATCTATCTATCTATGTCCATTAACTATCTATCTATATATCCATTATATATCTATCTATCTATCTATCTATCTATATATATATATATATATATATATATATATATATATATATATATTAATATCTATCTATTTATCTGTCTATTAACAGTATCTACCTATCTATCTATCTATTAATATCTATCTATCTATCTTTATTAATATCTATCTTTATATATATATATATATATATATATATATATATATATATATATATATATATATATATATATATAATCATCTACTATCTATATTTATATCTATATATCTATTTATCTATGTCTATTAACATTATCTATCTAACTACATATCTATCTATCTATCTATCTATCTATCTATCTATGTCTATTAACATCTATCTATCTATCTAATCTATCTATCTATGTCTATTAACATCTATCTATCTATCTATCTATCTATCTATCTATCTATCTATCTATGTCTATTAACATCTATCTATCTATCTATCTATCTATCTATCTATCTATCTATCTATCTATCTATCTATCTATCTCAGTCTGTTCATTATCAATTTATTCATCTATCTATTGAACCTGACAGCTGGCTTCTTTAAGGAGAATGGGAGAGGGGTTGATTGGCGTGGATAATTTGTGTTTTTGACTTCAAGAAAGAGGTCGCGCAAATACGGGAACACACGCAAACGCATGAACGGAACATTTGAGCAATGCGGGCGTTTAAAGGATAATGAAAGCGAAAAGGACATTTGTACTTCGAATCAGACAGGGACATGTAATGAGGAAAGAAACCAGTGAAGGCAACTGAGACAGAATGAAATGAAGCGATTCATCTATCTGACGATCTTGGTGGCAATGGACGGCAGAAAAGAGACTGCGAGGGATACGAAAAGACAAACACAGCTAAAAACTACAGAGGATAAGAAGTTATGATGTCTAACGTCTTGAAGGAACAGGGAACATGGAACATTAAAGAAAAAGTATTCGATGTAATATTATCTGAATTTCTTACATGAAGTATTGTGAATCATTATTAATTTTGTTTTATACGCCCCCTCGTTTTGGGGGCTTCTTGGTCTTGGAACGACGGCTTCAATTAATACCCTGTTGTATATATTCTCTATCTACTCTTTCTTCTCTCGGTCGGGCGATCCGTAGTTGTTTTTGGGGTCCGGAGATGAAAAAGACATCAACAAAGAGAATTTGAATCTTAACTAATGTATTCAACACGTCGACGATTACGTTTCTAACTAGCCAGTGGGGTTGATAACCCACCCCAATGGGGAGCAGTTTCCAGACAAGAAATTCACACGTCTACAGAATTCGACGTGCAAGAACTGATTTTCTGAAATCGTTTTCTATATCAATCATTCCCACGCTAGCATTAGCCAATCACAATCGACTTCCTTTGTTTTTCCTGTATCTGACCTCAAAGGAAAAAATGAGGAAGTCAAAGCAGAATTCCTTAAAAAATAATAGTCTATTAAACAAGTGCAGATTGATTTTTCATCTTATTTCTCTTGCTTTATTCGCACTAGTAGTATTAGATGTAATATTATATATTTCTTAAATGAAGCCTTATCAGTTATTATTGAATTTTGACTAGTATTTCTTTCATTTTATTTCTTTTGCTTTATTTACACTAGTAGTATTAGATGTAATATTATATATTTCTTAGATGAAGCATTGTCAATTATTATTAATTTTTGACTAGTATTTCTGACATCCTAATTAATCTTGCTTTTTATTGTTATATCTTTATTATCGGTTCCCAGTCGTTCCATAAATGCCGAAGGTCAGAAATAAGAATAGAGTACTTTCTTGGTTATTTGTACCTCTATTTTTCGGACGGGAAACGAAGAGAAAAACTGAAATTGTCCGAATTAATCACATTCCAATATTTCATCTCAGACAAACGTTTTGAAAATTTGGAAAAACATGTTAAACGTTCAAAATCTGAGTTTAAAACACCGAAGCAATGTCCGACATATGTTTAAGTTGATTTCACTTTCAACCAGAAGCTGCCTTTATAAATAAATTTACTTCGATCTAGCTTCGGGAGTGAACGACAGAAAAAATGCGAGCCCAACCAGAAACCAAAAAAAAAAAAAATGAATTTTTCCATTAAAAATAAACTGGAAAATAAAACCTTGATGAAAATGTCGGTCTGTATATCTGAGATGACACATGTCCCAGTGGATAAAACCCTTGGTTGATTGATGTAAAAAGTGACTTAAATATCTGCCTATATTTCTGAGATGAGGTATTATGTACACTATTTACATTATTCGGCCTATTGTCCTCATCTTTATCGCCATATTTATTGTAACGTTTCGGCAATTGTACGCTCCAGCCTTCTTCAGGTGTTTGGAGTGTCGAACTGAAACCTTTATTTCGCTCACTTCTCAAGGACACATGGCACAGTGGATAAAAGCGTTAGTTAGATCCAGTGACAGGACCCAAAGAGTGCGAGTTCAATACCAGGTTTAGGCAGTGGAGAACTTGGAGATGGGAATTAACAGGAGATAACTGATAATTGGCATCCATTAATCATGGCACGTGGAACTAGAACAGTCTACCCCAGTGAGCCAAATAAAGGGTTCCGTTCGACATTCCAAACCTGAAGAAGGCCGGAGTGTACAACGGCCGAAACGTTGTAATAAATATGGTGACAAAGATGAGGACAATAGCCCGAATAATGTAAATAATGTGACTTAAAGAGTTGTGAGTTCAATCCCTGGCCTTAGCGGAGAGAACAGAAACGTGGAGGCGAATTAATTAGATCTGAAATATCCAAAGGCATCGTGCGTGAAATATAAAACAATCTACCCTCGTGTACTGAATAAATGCTTCGGTTCGAAATTCCAACAAATATTACCCGAAGAAAGCCGAAGCGTATAGCGGCCGAAACGTCGGGAATGTGATAGTAAAAATGAGAACAAGAGTCCCAACACTGAAGAAAACGCATGAAAATGTTATTTGATGATATAAATATTATATGTTATTTCATGATATAAATATTATTTCATGATATAAATACTATATGTTATTTCATGATATAAATCTTATTTCATGATATAAATATTATATGTTATTTCATGATATAAATCTTATTTCATGATATAAATGTTATTTCATGATATATTTTATGTTATTTCATGATATAAATGTTATTTCATGATATAAATCTTAATTAATGATATATTTTATGTTATTTCATGATATAAATGTTATTTCATGATATAAATATTATATGTTATTTCATGATATAAATCTTATTTCATGATATAAATCTTATTTCATGATATATTTTATGTTATTCCATGATATAAATGTTATTTCATGATATAAATCTTAATTAATGATATATTTTATGTTATTTCATGATATAAATCTTATTTCATGATATAAATCTTATTTCATGATATATTTTATGTTATTTCATGATATAAATGTTATTTCATGATATAAATATTATATGTTATTTCATGATACAAATATAATATGTTATTTCATGATATAAATATTATTTCATGATATAAATACTATATGTTATTTCATGATATAAATCTTATTTCATGATATAAATATTATATGTTATTTCATGATAAAATATATGTTATTTCATGATATAAATATTATTTCATGATATAAAATATGTTATTTATGATATAAATCTTATTTCATGATATAAATATTTATGTTATTTCATGATATAAATGTTATTTCATGATATAAATGTTATTTATATTTTATGTTATTTCATGATATAAATGTTATTTCATGATATAAATCTTAATTAATGATATATTTTATGTTATTTCATGATATAAATGTTATTTCATGATATAAATATTATATGTTATTTCATGATATAAATCTTATTTCATGATATAAATCTTATTTCATGATATATTTTATGTTATTCCATGATATAAATGTTATTTCATGATATAAATCTTAATTAATGATATATTTTATGTTATTTCATGATATAAATCTTATTTCATGATATAAATCTTATTTCATGATATATTTTATGTTATTTCATGATATAAATGTTATCTCATGATATAAATATTATATGTTATTTCATGATATCAGTGTTATTTCATGATATAAATCTTATTTCATGATATATTTTATGTTATTTCATGATATAAATGTTATTCATGATATAAATATTATATGTTATTTCATGATATAAATGTTATTTCATGATATAAATGTTATTTCATGATATAAATATTATATGTTTTTTCCTGATATGCTCCCTTGCGCAAATTAATTGAAACAAGCGCTTTAGTTTCTTTTGTTTCATCATACAGTCAGTTTTAGACCTACTATTGTGACAGGGTGTTATAGATTTCTATTTTTACCTCAGATTAGGTCATTTGTAGTGGTGTGCAGTAATATGAATCTATTTTCGAGGTGTATTATGAAATTTGTTTTGCCTTGAAAAATATTGGGTCATCCGTGATTGCATCAAATTTTCATTACGCTCAGACATTGTCAATTAGTTGTCCTACGGCCATTGTCTGCAATGGACGTCACGGCAAGGAAGCGTAGGAAAATTTTAACGCTGCACGAACACACTGGTAAGTCTTACCATTAAGCAAATCAAAGTACTATAGATTGGCCTGGAAACTCGCTTGATTTAAATCCAATCGAGAATCTGTGGTCAATCTGCAAGGAACGACTTCATGGAATGAACATGCGAAGTACTGACATATGCACTGGGTTATGTTTCATTGGAAAAATACGAAAAATAAATATCAGAATTATTCATTTTGTTTCAATTAATTTGCATAAGAGAGTAAATATATTATTTCATGATATAAATATTATGTTATTTTATGATATAAATTTTATGATATTTCATGATATAAATATTAAATCTTTTTTCTTCATTCTTCTTCGATAATTTAGGTATTCAATTATCCGTAATTTTGAATTAACTGAACATATTTTTTCAATCCCTGTCCTAACGTGTCCGGATAATCGAAGAAGGATAGCAATTATTCACCGAGATTTGAATTTGCATCAATTAAACTTGGGAACCTAATTTTCCGTGGCATGCCTTATAGTTTAGGGCAATCAGTATGGTTCATCCAAACTTAGCAATATTACGCTTGTATAGCAATAAACACACTTGTCTTTCCTTCTCCGGACTATATTAATTCATAATAACAATTGACATAGATATTTTTTTTATTATCCCTTTTAACTGTTGATTTAAAAATCGTTTGTTCTTCAAATGATACTTTTGCCGGGAGGAAATATATCTGCAATAAGGATCCGCATTTCTCTCGATTAAGGGTCACACATCTCCATAACATCGAAGACGTCTGTGCAAGAAAAGGTAAAAGAGGTTCGATGTTTATTTGAAACAAGAAGGAGATGGTGCCCTTCCCTTTGAGTGAACAAAAATATTTTAAAGGAGCAAGAAAAAGAATAACAAAGAAAAAAATTCAAGACAAATACTTGTTTTAAAACCATAGCGGGCGCTGAAATTGGCTACGAAATGGATGGTGGAATGTGTTAGTAAATTTTCAATGGCCGATTGAGTTACCCATTCTTCGCTTGAACAAGCTTATTTCTAGCCTAGAATACAAAGCAGCCACTGTTGAGGGGGTCATATTTATCCGAACAAAAACAAAGCTGAAAAAATAAAAAATAAGCAAAAATATACTCAAAAGGCCATTTTAAAGATACTGGTACTTAAACAAATACGAAAAGTACATTGTTTAAAAGTCATTGCCCTCATTTTTTTTTCGCCTTGCCTTTTGTTTGTGGATATATTATCTGGTCTCTTTACAACGATATTTATACCAGTTGAGGATCTTGGATTTTACAAATAGAAGCACTGACGAGATTTATTTATTTATTTTTGTTTTGAAGAGTATTAGGAACGCACAGATATCACTTTTTCCCCCGATGAGAAATATGGGCTTAATAATAGATGTTCGGGTGATGCAGAAGTTCGGGGTGAGAAATCGGTTGAACCGAGTTCGAATTCTAGTCAAGTTGGTTAGAGTCACTTACGCACAAACCCTGTTGAGAAAGGCATAAATCCATCTTTTCTCCCCTACCAACTAGCTATGTGTCGCATTTGTAACTCTCAGCAGTGTTTTTCACGACGGCTTGCGTTCGTGCACACACACACACACACACATATATATATATATCATATTTGACACATACGCACGTATACACATGCGCACGCATACACACATGTACATACGCACGAACACGCACACGGTAAAAATAAACATATCCCTAATAATAATAACATCGAATTAGCGCATGAATTAATTACATCAAACTTAGCATAAAAACAATGAGGATATTCGCAGTCAATCGCTGAAACCTCCTGACGAGTGGACTTAGCAATTACAAAAAATTTCGTCTCCGAAACTTCAGAGTTGAGGTTATGAATATAACATCTATCTGCTAAGTGATGAATTTTATTCGTATTAATCCTTTTTGAGCATTCGAGAGAAAGGTTTTTTAAAAAAAAAACAAAAAAACAACGGCTCCTACTGCAATTAAACATTACTCTTCAAGTATGAATTGAGTTCTCCGAGCCGCTGGTATATTTCGTATAGAAAAAAAAACGTTAAAATTCCCTTTCTTTCTGTCGTGCGACGATGGCCTAGGGGTAAGATATACGACTGGTGTATTTTGTATACAAAAAAAAAAAAACAAAACGAAAAAAAACATTAAAATTCCCTTTCTTTCTGTCGTGCGACGATGGCCTAGGGGTAAGATATACGACTGGTGTATTTTGTATACAAAAAAAAAAAAAAAAACATTAAAATTCCCTTCCTTTCTGTCGTGCGACGATGGCATTGGGGTAAGATATATGACTGATGTCAAATCAGTCGGTTTTCGATCGGACGTCTACCCACACTGAGGAGCTGTGATACAGCGAGACAGTCTCTGGATGACTATATATATATATATATATATATATATATATATATATATATATATATATATATATATATATATTCGTATGACGATATACTACATCTGGCAGCAAAGCCTTTGGTCGAGAGGTATTGAGGCGCGTGAAACCATATCTTAGTTAAGGCTCTGGTTATGACCCCCTAAAATTATCTGGGGTTAAAAAACTATGAAATATAAAAAAATCTTTATTGTAAAAATACATGCAATACATTCTCATCGTAAAAATTTATCAGCAATATATTTTTGTAAAAAAAAAAAGATTAAATTAAATTTACCAGAAATACATTTTTGCAAAAAATAAAAATTACAATAAAATAAAATTCCCGTAGGGAAAAATATCACCAGCAATACATTTTTGTAAAAGAAATACTAATACTCTCAGGAAAATTAAATTTCGGCATTAAATGACCCATAAGGGGTTGATATGCCGATAAACAAACAAATAAACAATTTAATGTTACATTTTAAAGAGAATATTGTGCAAATATCTTTTTTTCAGTTATAAAATCTGTTTATATATCCTAATTTATATCCATAGAAAAAATCTTTCCTTAAAATAATCACCTTTCTAGTCTTCCATCAGCACGACTGACGCTAACCTCCAGGGAAGCAACCTCGTGGGCTCACATTTTCCATTTATATGAATTGCAGTGATTATAATGAATCAATTGCTAGGTCTGCTGTTAGGAAAGTTGGTTCACTGTGTCAAATTTTCTCGTCAGAGTCCAGCTTACATATTTATAAATCTAACGTTCGTCTGTGCATTGAATATTGTTGTCATATTGTTATAGTGGAACACACCTATTCTATAGTTAATAGACCCTCCCACCTATAATAAGTAGGAGTAGTAAGAGTAACAAGGGGTCGCTCAGTGGGTCGGGCAGTCAGTCGATGCCGGACGACCGTTAGTCGGATACTAAAGTATCAGCGACCTCAACTAGATTTACTCTGCGTCATACCTATTATATGAAGTTCCTAACGTTTTGTACGTCGAACCTATTTTATGACCGATTTAGTACAAATACAAGCCTCCACTGGAAAACCCCTCCACAACACATATCTAGCTTGGTGCACCTGCTACTTATCTCGAGATTCTCAAGAAAATCCAAAGAAGGATCTAACCTGTCATCTCGACCGCAGTCACATTCTCATCGCTGTCATGTGGCTTCCCTCTGCCTTTTCTATAAATATTTTTATGGTAGTTGTTCTAATAAGCTCTAATTGGTATTTTGTCCACATAAATTTAGCGTACTAATAGATTGGCAACTAAGTATCGTTCTTTTACTGTTGAAATAGCTTAGATGAAACTGTAAGTGTGTTGTCATATTTGGGCGGGAACTGCCCAGACCTCACTTTCCAGTCTTGAGAGACTTCAAAAGCATCTCTGAGTCCTTGTTGAAGAAGAATTATTTCCCACTCTCCACCCTCTCTCTAACAAGTGGGAGGTGGTGAGACTCTCACTGTTTTATCGCTATTTCCATGGCAAGTGCTCAAACGAACTACATTCCTTGGTTCCACCAGGTCTAACCTTCACAGCTAGCACCCGCCATGCCACTTACATAATAGCAAGCCACCTACATTCCCTCTGTATTCTACAAGAAGGAAAGAAGTTCCACTCGAACAGCTTCTTTCCGCGAACCACTGCTCTGTGGAACAGACACCCAAGAGGATGTTTTCCCGATCACTACAATCTTAACCTGTTCAACCGTTATCTTCCCCTCCTATCCATAGAAACTACCCCTTAACGTAAAACTCTACCTCGAATGGACTCCAGGGTGAACCTTACTTAAAAAAAGTCCTATTCTATTTTTTTCTCTATTTACATTATTCGGACTATTGTCCTCATCTTTGTCGCCATGTTTATCACAACGTTTCGGCCGTTGTACGCCCCGGCCTTCTTCAGGTGGTTGGAATGTCGAACTGAACCCTTTATTTCGCTCACTGGGGTTGACTGTTCTAGTTCCACGTGCCATGTCTAGTGGATGTCAGTTATTTCCTGTTAATTCCCCTCTTAAAGTTCTCCACTGCCTTAACCAGGTATTGCATTCACACTCTTTGGATCCTGTCACTGGATCTAACCAACGCCTTTATCCACTGTGTCATGTGTCCTTGGTCTTTTTCTCTCTTGCAATTATTCCCCATAAAACTCCTTTCCGATTTCTTGCTTCCCTGCCAATTACAACCTTAAAAGCTTAAATGCAACGTCAGTTGTTAACTTCTGCCTTTTATTGTCCTTTCTCATCACTCAGATCTTGCCATTCTCGTTCACTCACATTGACCTCTTGCATCTTAGTGGCATTAACGCCTTGCTTGGGGCAAAATGATTTTTAAAAAAAAGTGTCTTTTCATCCTAAACTGATTGCTCCCCTCTTTTGTAAATATAAATGTTTATCTTTTTTCCACATCATCATACATTAGACGAGCCGAGTGAAAAAATAAGGATGTAAGTATGCAGCCTAATCTTCGTCCAATTTAACAATTCTTTGTCTGCTTTTTAAGATAACGTGATAAGAGACTTTTGAGAAGAGTGTCAAAAAAAAAAAAAAAAGAAAAAGAAAAAAAAAGGCACTTTTAGCAGGGACACGAATCATAAAATGTGTTGCTCCTTTTTAGCCGGCTTGGATTTCTTGTTCATATTTCCGAGTGAGTGAGAAATAAAGCCTCTTGTGAATAAATAAATAAATGAGGTAATGAAGGAAAGAAGAAGAAGAAGAAGAAGAAGAAGAAGAAGAAGAAGAAGAAGAAGAAGAAGAAATGGGTCGCTAATGGTGACGTGGAACATGTGTCTCAGAAGCAACAAGATCCCAAGCACTAATAAGATATATATATATATATATATATATATATATATATATATATATATATATATATATATATATATATATATATATTTATGTTTGTGTGTGGTGTAGGAAGAGAAAAGAGGCAAGATGACTGTCGGCTTAGAATGGGAGAGCTTTCTCACAAAATATGATAAAGACATGTGCACACACGCACAGGAACGCTCACTTTCCTTTTCTCTTTCTCACAAGTATGTGTTTATTTAAAGAAATATATTTTAAAAAAGTAATTCGCCAAGCGGACATATATACATATAAGGATGTTCATATTCGTACATCTCTCTCTCTCTCACTCACTCTCTCTGTCTCTCTCTCTCTCTCTCTCTCTATCTATCTATCTATCTATCTATCTAAGTCTGTTGACATAGATCTCTCTCTCTCTATCAAAGTCTGTTCATATCTATCTATCTATCTATCTATCTATCTATCTATCTATCTGTATAGAGTTAAATAAATCAAACGACCACATATAAGCAACCGTATAAGCGCGTGTTGGCGTGCATAAACAGACAAGGAAATAAATAATCACCAGATTTATTCATGTAGGTGTACACATAACAGTTCTCGATGTGGTTAGACAGAGCAAAGATATATATTGATAAATATATATATACCTACGTTTTGGTACGCGACTTAAGTTTCGCTGGTTTTTTAAAAAATGAATCCTACCTGCATTTCATTTCTTGCATCTTTTGTACTATTTTATTTTGGGCCTATTAAGCAGCGTTTCTTCCATGTGATATATAAAAACATGATATACTTTGTGCCCGATGAGCTGGAAAACTAGCGAAACTTAAGTCGCACACCAAAACGTAGATATATGTATATGTATATTTATTAATATCTATCTATCTATCTATCTATCTATCTATCTATCTATCTAATGTTTATCGGGCGGCATTTAAGCTATCTCCTGCAAAGGCTCTTGATTAGGCCTTCATTACAATAGGCAGGGAGGAGTAGATGCGATAGGCAACAATAAACTACAGAAGAACTCAAAATTGATCACTGCATTTAAGTATTGCATTAATATTTATGTTTACTTGTTAAAATGTTTAACGATATTTCTTCTGCTGCCACTTAATTTAAAGATAATTTGATGTACGTAGGGCCTTACTTTCTGTACAAACAATTATTTCTATTTCATGGGTGACTTTCGCTGGATTTAGCAATTAATCTTGATTATTCCCAAATTTATTTCCATGTTATAAAAATTGTTATCGTACAAAAAATTCGTTGCAAAAATCACGTAAAAAAATAGCAAAAATGAAAACTTGGGAATGGGGGCCTGGATCCGAAAGAGAATGATTTTAATTTGCTCACAGAGTTTGCCTGGTTCCAAAATGGTATGATATCTATCTATCTATCTATCTATCTATCTATCTATCTAAATATTTTGATTTCTTTCTGTTTATCTATGTAAGCATTTTGGTATCTGTCTTTTTATCTTTTTTCATCTATCTATCTATCTATCTATCTATCTATCTATCTATCTATCTATCTATCTATCTGATTCTGTTCATATCTATCTATCTATCTATCTATCTACCTATCTATCTATCTAAATATTTTGATTTCTTTCTGTTTATCTATGTAAGCATTTTGGTATCTGTCTTTTTTATCTTTTCATATCTATCTATCTATCTATCTATCTATCTATCTATCTATCTATCTATCTGATTCTGTTCATATCTATCTATCTATCTATCTATCTATCTATCTATCTATCTATCTATCTATCTATCTAAATGTTTTGATTTCTTTCTGTTTATCTATGTAAGCATTTTGGTATCTGTCTTTTTTATCTTTTCATATCTATCTATCTATCTATCTATCTATCTATCTATCTATCTATCTATCTATCTGATTCTGTTCATATCTATCTATCTATCTATCTATCTATCTATCTATCTATCTATCTATCTATCTATCTAAATGTTTTGATTTCTTTCTGTTTATCTATGTAAGCATTTTGGTATCTGTCTTTTTATCTTTTTCATATCTATCTATCTATCTATCTATCTATCTATCTATCTATCTGATTCTGTTCATATTCATATCTATCTATCTATCTATCTATCTATCTATCTATCTATCTATCTATCTATCTAAATGTTTTGATTTCTTTCTGTTTATCTATGTAAGCATTTTGGTATCTGTCCTTTTTATCTTTTCATATTCATCTATTCATCTATCTATCTATCTATCTATCTATCTATCTATCTATCTATCTGTTCTGTTCATATCTATCTATCTATCTATCTATCTATCTATCTATCTATCTATCTATCTATCTAAATGTTTTGATTTCTTTCTGTTTATCTATGTAAGCATTTTGCTATCTCTCTTTTTTATCTTTTCATATCTATCTATCTATCTATCTATCTATCTATCTATCTATCTATCTATCTATATGATTCTGTTCATATCTATCTATCTATCTATCTATCTATCTATCTATCTATCTAAATGTTTTGATTTCTTTCTGTTTATCTATGTAAGCATTTTGGTATCTGTCTTTTTTATCGTTTCATATCTATCTATCTATCTATCTATCTATCTATCTATCTATCTATCTATCTATCTGATTCTGTTCATATCTATCTATCTATCTATCTATCTATCTAAATGTTTTGATTTCTTTCTGTTTATCTATGTAAGCATTTTGGTATCTGTCTTTTTTATCTTTTCATATCTATCTATCTATCTATCTATCTATCTATCTATCTATCTATCTATCTGATTCTGTTCATATCTATCTATCTATCTAAATGTTTTGATTTCTTTCTGTTTATCTATGTAAGCATTTTGGTATCTGTCTTTTTTATCTTTTCATATCTATCTATCTATCTATCTATCTATCTATCTGATTCTGTTCATATCTATCTATCTATCTATCTATCTAAATGTTTTGATTTCTTTCTGTTTATCTATGTAAGCATTTTGGTATCTGTCTTTTTATCTTTTTTCATCTATCTATCTATCTATCTATCTATCTATCTATCTATCTATCTATATGATTCTGTTCATATCTATCTATCTATCTATCTATCTATCTATCTATCTATCTATCTATCTAAATGTTTTGATTTCATTCTGTTTATCTAAGAAAGCATTTTGGTATCTGTCTTTTTTATCTTTTCATATCTATCTATCTATCTATCTATCTATCTATCTATCTATCTATCTATCTATCTATCTGATTCTGTTCATATCTATATATCTATCTATCTATCTATCTATCTATCTATCTAAATGTTTTGATTTCTTTCTGTTTATCTATGTAAGCATTTTGGTATCTGTCTTTTTTATCTTTTCATATATATCTATCTATCTATCTATCTATCTGATTCTGTTCATATCTATCTATCTATCTATCTATCTATCTATCTATCTATCTATCTATATAAATATTTTGATTTCTTTCTGTTTATCTATGTAAGCATTTTGGTATCTGTCTGTTTTATCTTTTCATATCTATCTATCTATCTATCTATCTATCTATCTATCTATCTATCTATCTATCTGATTCTGTTCATATCTATCTATCTATCTATTTCTATATCTATCTATCTATCTATCTATCTAAATGTTTTGATTTCTTTCTGTTTATCTATGTAAGCATTTTGGTATCTGTCTTTTTTATCTTTTCATATCTATCTATCTATCTATCTATCTATCTATCTATCTATCTATCTATTTATCTATCTGATTCTGTTCATATCTATCTATCTATCTATCTATCTATCTATCTATCTATCTATCTATCTATCTAAATGTTTTGATTTCTTTCTGTTTATCTATGTAAGCATTTTGGTATCTGTCCTTTTTATCTTTTCATATCTATCTATCTATCTATCTATCTATCTATCTATCTATCTATCTATCTATCTATCTATCTATCTATATGATTCTGTTCATATCTATCTATCTATCTATCTATCTATCTATCTAAATGTTTTGATTTCTTTCTGTTTATCTATGTAAGCATTTTGGTATCTGTCTTTTTATCGTTTTCATATCTATCTATCTATCTATCTATCTATCTATCTATCTATCTATCTATCTATCTATCTATCTATCTGATTCTGTTCATATCTATCTATCTATCTATCTATCTAAATGTTTTGATTTCTTTCTGTTTATCTATGTAAGCATTTTGGTATCTGTCTTTTTATCTTTTCATATCTATCTATCTATCTATCTATCTATCTATCTATCTATCTATCTATCTATCTGATTCTATGTATCTGATTCTGTTCATATCTATCTATCTATCTATCTATCTATCTATCTAAATGTTTTGATTTCTTTCTGTTTATCTATGTAAGCATTTTGGTATCTGTCTTTTTATCTTTTCATATCTATCTATCTATCTATCTATCTATCTATCTATCTATCTATCTATCTATCTGATTCTGTTCTATCTATATCTATCTATCTATCTATCTATCTATCTATCTATAAATGTTTTGATTTCTTTCTGTTTATCTATGTAAGCATTTTGGTATCTGTCTTTTTTATCTTTTCATATCTATCTATCTATCTATCTATCTATCTATCTATCTATCTATCTGATTCTGTTCATATCTATCTATCTATCTATCTATCTATCTATCTATCTATCTATCTATCTATCTAAATGTTTTGATTTCTTTCTGTTTATCTATGTAAGCATTTTGGTATCTGTCTTTTTTATCTTTTCATATATATCTATCTATCTATCTATCTATCTATCTATCTATCTATCTATCTATCTATCTATCTATCTGATTCTGTTCATATCTATCTATCTATCTATCTATCTAAATGTTTTGATTTCTTTCTGTTTATCTATGTAAGCATTTTGGTATCTGTCTTTTTTATCTTTTCATATCTATCTATCTATCTATCTATCTATCTATCTATCTATCTATCTATCTATCTATCTGATTCTGTTCATATCTATCTATCTATCTATATATCTATCTATCTATCTAAATGTTTTGATTTCTTTCTGTTTATCTATGTAAGCATTTTGGTATCTGTCTTTTTTATCTTTTCATATCTATCTATCTATCTATCTATCTGATTCTGTTCATATCTATCTATCTATCTATCTATCTATCTATCTATCTATCTATCTATCTAAATGTTTTGATTTCTTTCTGTTTATCTATGTAAGCATTTTGGTATCTGTCTTTTTTATCTATCTATCTATCTATCTATCTATCTATCTATCTATCTATCTATCTATCTATCTATCTATCTATCTATCTGTTCATACATATCTTGTACCATTTCTTTCTATCAGTCTGTTCATATATATCTTATACCATATATATTTCTTTCTTCATTTCTCTCTATCTATATATCTATATTATACTGTTCCTTTCTTTTTATTTGTCTATCTATTATCTATCTTATACTGTTTCTCTCTTCCTTCCTTCCTTCCTTCCTTCCTTTCTTTCTATCTATCTATCTATCTATCTATCTATCTATCTATCTATCTATCTATCCCAATATGCCCAAACAGTACTTTTTTTCTGTGTCGGGAAAGAAGAAAAACGAGAAAACTATTTAAATACTGACCAAATCTAACCGTAAGTTAATATAAAACCTATTTGCATCTGTCTTAATCCTTCGAGACAGAGTTCTAAAAATAACCGACTGATGACACAAAGCATTAAAGAGTTGAGTAAATTCCAAAAACACATCTTATATTTTCTGAACTTAATGCCTCCTAATATTTACTTATATTCATATTTGCATTTCATATATTTCGATTTACTGTGGGTGACTTACCTGTTTAGTTAAATCTGACACAAGACCGCGAGTGTAAAGCACACTGTAGCAATCTGCCTGAGGCTTCTGGTGAAGATTCAGTAATTGAATTGTTTGATAAGTTGTGTTGATTAGACCCCCACCCAACCTCTTTACTCTGCGCAAGGTATGGTATTTTGTTGTAGTTTTTCCCATGTGTTCCCCCACTAAAGAGTTCAGGGTTTTGGAATTCATACTTTCTTCTCCTAGACTGGCTGCCTACCAAGGCAGACGAGCGCAGTTTAACTTACTATTTAATCGATACCTGGGAAGAGAAGTGATACATCGATGGATTCATATCGTCACCAAATGTCTATCCGCGAAAATGAATATGCCGAAAACTGGACTGGATTTCGATCGAGCTGATTTCACATTACGCGACGAGCACATCCTCTCAAGCACTCCGTAAACAGTCGAAATTACTAGTTTGCAAGACTTGTTTGCTGACTATCGGTCAGCACAAATTTCCAGTTTTGCCTTAATTTCCTTAATTTTCTTTTTCACTGATTGCTTTTTTCTTTTTTCTTTCGTGTGTGTTTTCCCCAAACATTTCACCAATGCAGCACCCATTTTCTTTACTTAATTACCTTTCTACCAGTTCATCATAAATCATTTGAAGTCGTCATTTATGTTATACGTCGCATCAAATTAAATCCCTTGCTGATTCGCTCTAAATGTTCGCTGGATTTGAACGTTAAGAAATCAAAACCCAAATTATGAAAAAATGTCCTCTGCGCAGGGACTTGCAGCATCACACCCAGACCACAAAACAAATCCCCTCAAAAAATATAAAATAACAACATAAAATAAGCCAATCACGAACGTTGCCGCCAAATAAAAAACATGAACAAAAGATGAACACGGGAGCCGCTACAACTTGCTTTTAAGGAAGCCGCTCATAAACGACTGAGTGAGATTCGTGGTGAACATCAAACTTCACTTATCTACTCCAGGCCTCTCTCGACATTATAACTGTGACCCCGATCCACCGACCTAGCAAACTCAAAGCCTTACCAATTCTACCTTTCATCCAAAGCCGCCACTCACAGGGCGTAACAAATAAATTTGCCTCTCTTACTTTGATAAATCCAAGAATTCGTTTGATTAACAGCGAGTCGTCTTAAAAAAAGCAC